GGTGTATGAATAAGGAGTATAGAAGTTAAATAAATCTGGAAAATATTGACTATCCAATTTTAATCAGTGGCTAACCGATTTGATATGAAAAAAACGAATGTAAGGTGACTCAGGCATGGCTAACTCACAGCTCAATTGCATTTTCATGACCCTACCATAGATTTATTCTATTATCATCAATATGCTGTGTAACTTCCGCAGGTCTACAAAAGCCTAGAGCAATTGTAAGGTATGTGTGTTGAGGGGGTGAGGGAGGACTTTTGATACAATTGACTAATCTCTTTGTAAGAGCAAATAAACTTTTTCAGAAGTTCCCCAGGAAACTCATTTTTTTAGATCTCATTGTCTAGAATTGCATCCCATGCCTGTTCCTAAATCAGTCCTTGCAGAGGAAACTGGATTGGATTAGACAAATTAGGATTAAGTCCAGGTGGTCAAGAGAGGTCCAGAAATCCTCACTCCCTTTGGCAGCCGCCAGTATGTGAACAGAGTCAGATTTTTAGTTGGGGGAAATAATTGAGTCTGCCATACTGGGGAAAATAAAGTTTAAGGGCTTCTTCTTTTTTTTTTTTTAAATGAACTTGCCGCATCTGTTTTCTTTCGATAAGGCTGCATATTTCAATTGTTGCTATTGTAAAGGACAAATTCATGTCTTCTCATAGCTTTTAATATGATAATTTACCTGGTGACTCTCCAAGAGGGATAGAACCTGCAATGTCTCACAAATAATAAAATATTTTATTATTTAAAATAATGCTATTATTTTTCAAGGCATTCTTTCTGGGATGATTGCCTTTATTAATGCATCTTAGAAATGGCTCTCCTGAATTATTAGTCAGAACCCATTTTATAGTATATATATATTTTATAATGGTCATAAGGAGTCCAAGATTGCCTTTTCTAAGTACTGTAAAAAAAAAAAGAGAGAGAGAGAGAGAGACAGAGAGAAATTTACAAAGTAGTGAGTTATAAAGTTAATATTAAAGATGAATAGCCTTATAAAATAAATACAGTAAAACGGCAATGTTAGAATCTAATTGGTGGGTTCACTGTATGATTCTTTTAACCTTGCTCTATGTTTAAAAGTTTTTGTAATAGAAAGTTTAAAAATAATGACAACCACAACAAAACAAAGAATAGCTTTTGTGTACACGACTGAAAACCAATGAGAAGACCCATGGAAAACTATATTAATAATAGCAAAACCAAATGAAATGCTTTAGCTAACTTTCCAAGAATACTCAAATCTACTATGAGAAAAACTTTAAAATACTATTGAAGGAAGCAAAAGTAGAATTAAGCAAATTAAAACACACAGATAGGAAGACTCAACTTCCTCAAGATTTCTGTTCTAGGTATGTTCATTTATAAGGTCAAAACAAGCGCAATATATATACGATCAAGTTGTTTGATTGTTTTCTGGAGTGCTACATAATGGTTAATAAATTGTATTTGAAAAAAGAGCAAATTGGGGACTGGCCAGTTAGCTCAGTTGGTTAGAGCACAGCCTTGTAACACCAAGGTCAAGGGTTTGGATCCCCATGCTGGCCAGCTGCCAAAAAAAAATTTAAAACAAAAAAAGAAAAAAGAGCAAACAAAATTAACCAGAAAAATCTAAAAAAGATGAACAATTATGGTGGGAGAGGGGCTAACTCTACCAGTTATTAAAATATGTTATAAAGCTTTTATAATTGAAACTCTGGTGTTGATGCATGCATAGATAAACTAAACAGTAGAACAGATTTTTAAAATCCTAAACAGGCCCAATTACATATGGAATTTGGTATACAATAGAAATGAGTGAAGACGAAATGTTTTATGTTATGATAACTGGATTGCAATACGGAAAAAGATAAAATGTTTTAGACTGCACACCAGAGTACATTCCACGTGGATAAAATATTTAACTTTAAATAATAAATTTATACAGGTACTAGAAGAACACATGGATGGAATATTCTATATTCTGAAAGTGAGGATTTTTTTTTCTAGTGATGATTTAAAATTTAGAAGCAATAAGTGAAAAAGAAATCAATACATTTTGTTAGAAAAAATTAAACTAATAAAATTTTATTTGGAAAATATACCTAAATAAAATAAAATAAAAATGACAAAATGGGAAAAAATACTTGCAACTTGATATCGAAGAGTTAATATATCTAATTAATGAAGAGATTTTAAAAATACAGAAGGTAATGACCAATAATTTTTTATAAAAATAGGCTACATCACATCAGTTTGCAGAAAAAGAAACAGGTTGCATCTTTCCATATGCAAAGATGTTCAACCTCCCCCATAATAAGAAAAATGCAAGTAAGAAAGCACACTGTGATAGTATTTCTCACATATCTGATTGGCCCAAATTCAAGTCTGACAGCCTACTCTGCTGGTGAGGTTGTGGGGAAATGAACATTCTCATCCATTGCTAGTGGGACAGCAAAATGGTGCAAACCCTTTAGGGCGGAATCTGCTAGCATAGCAAAAATACTTTAAAATGTATCCTTTAAGACAGCATTCTGCCGGCCTGGTGGCGCACTGCGATAGTGCGCCGCTTGGAGAGCGTGGCGGCGCTCCCGCCGAGGGTTCGGATCCCACATACAGACCGGTTCCCGCTCACTGGCTGAGCGAGGCGCGGGAGCAGCGCCGAGGGTTGCGATCCCGTTGCCGGTCCCGGTCCGGTACGGGGGCGACACTGAGGGTTGCGATCCTTTGCCGGACACGGAAAAAGACAAAAAAAAAAAAAATTATTAAGACAGCATTCCCACTTCTCAGAATCTATTCCCAAAATACTCAGGGGCAAATTGAAAAACACATATATGCATATGCACAAGGTAGTTAATTACACTATGCTTTTTAGACTGTTAGAGATGGTTGTTATTCTAAGAATGTTATCTGTATATTTTGGGATAAAGCAAATGAATAATCATAACAGTATCTTAAGAACCAAGATTTTCCTCATGAGAGACAGGAGACAGAGATGTAAGAGTGTCAAGGTTAAGTAAAAACCCTGTAGTCCTGAATTTGAATTGCAAGTAGCACATGAATTCATTGTGGATTTTACCTTAATTTTTTAATCCTACTTTTCACATAGTGAAAAATGATACATCCGATGACAAGCAGTGAGCATTAGGTTGATTGGTATTTAAATGAGATACACATAAAATACAGAAGTCTCTGCATACAAAATATTAATTCAAGTAAATTTGGGAGATTCTGAATTTCCCTTTTGGAGGTTATTTTTTTATGTTATAATGTCAAAGGGTCTGAAGAAGTCTCTCAGTAAGGAAACCTAAAAATTTTTAATACAGTGGCTATTAGGAACGTTTTGTGTATTTTGCAGAAGGGGCTGGGATTGTGGAATTCCTATTGTTTCTTCACTACACAAATGTGCCATAGAAAATAATTAGGGAAATATTGCTGTGAAAGTGTAAAGTAATCTTCAGGTAATTATTCTTCATAGAGGGACAAGAGGTCTAGAGAGAGTTGTTGGAATCATGTACTTAATGAATGCATAATTTAATACCACCGGTGTTGTTTAGTATCTATCTACCAGATAGTAAATGCTGTGTTCTGTACCAAGGATAGAAGGGAACAAAATGAAAAGAAAAATATCTGGAACATCTACTGGTAAAGCATTAAAATATAGACTTTCGGTAATGCTGCAGCAGAGGTTTGAAATGTTTTATGGAATCTAATTGAGATTGAGGGGCTGAGTGGAGAAAACCTGTGGGTTGTGCCATGGAGAGAGAATTAAGTTACGGCAGGCAAAAACAAAGAGGAAGGACATCCCTGGAAAAGTAAAGAGCAAGAGTAAAGATAGCTTACCAGAAACAATAGTCATAACTGTCTGCAAGAATAAAGAAAAACTAGGGAAAGGGTGGGGCAAGGCCAGTGTAGTGAGAAGAATGTGGGCCTGGGGTCTGAGCTGTCATGATTGCTCTACCTGTAAATGACCTTGGGAAGGTGATTTAATCTCTGTAAGACTCAGCTTTCCCATCAGTATAGTGAGGATAAAAAACAGTCAATTCACAAAGTGAGGATGAGATCAGAAGACTATATCCAAAGCTTCCAGCAGAGTGTGGGCACTTAGTCAACATCAGTTCTTACCATTATTAGGCAGCTGGGGCAAAAGGTTGAATGCCTGCTGTTGTTGGAGGGATTTGGATTTTAATGTGTAGGCAGTGGAGAACCATCGAAGGATCTGAGCATAGGGATGAGGTGATCAGCTCTGTAGCTTACAAAGATGGATGTGGGAGAATGAATGGATGCAAGGAGACATCTAGCATCACATCCCATTGAAAGAAGAGGAAGGCAGAAACAGTGCTTTGGTAGAGTATCCAAAACTGTTCAGTGTTTCAGAGGCAGAACTGATAGAACTTTTCTATTCACTAGATGTGTGTACGTCAGAGCAGGAGTGAGAGAAAGGAAAGAATACAAAATAACACCAGAGTTTCCAGCCTGAGCATCTGAGTCTCCAGGAATAACAACAATTGAGACAGGAAGCACAGGAGGTAGAGTAGGTATTTAGAAGGTAGTGAGTTCAGATGTGAAATTTAATTTGTTTTCTACCATTTTCTTTTTGGCCTTCCTAGAGTAAGCAAGCTCTGAAGATTTGAATGTGACAACCCAGCTTCTAATACAAAAGATCCCTCTATTCTATGGGACCACTATATTCTGAATAATGTGTTGGCTTTTTACAAAAGCTATTATTGTGATCCTTTGGCATACTGTTACTAAAATTTTTCTAATATGTCAGGAAGTTTTTCTAATATGAGTTTAATGTGCTCCAGAGTAAAATACCAAAAACTATTTTAACAAACTAACGTGGTAGCTAAGCATGGATACCAATTGGCTAACACAAGGTAGCTAAATGTGGCTTACGTTATTATACTCCTCAAAGCATTGTTTTCTTTAAGCAGAATTGCAAGTAAATGCAAATTTAAACATTCTACTCAACACCAGTTTGTGTGTGTGTGTGTGTTTCTTGTTTTAATGTGCAGGACAGGAGAGAATTGGAAAAGATTCCAACTATGAGCAGGAAGGTAAAGTTCAGTTCGTGATTGATGCAGTCTATGCTATGGCCCACGCCCTTCACCATATGAACAAGGATCTTTGTGCTGACTACCGGGGTGTCTGCCCGGAGATGGAGCAAGCTGGGGGCAAGAAGTTGTTAAAGTATATCCGCAATGTCAATTTCAATGGTAAGTCTCCAAACAGCTGTGGTTTTGGGGATCCTGAATGTTGGCATTCTGTGTTTCATACATTGCATAGTTGTGTTGTTATTTACTCTTAAATATGTGTCAAAATTTGGTCGATTATATAATTTCAAATAACTGAGTCAATGCATGGATGAACGAGTGAATGAACTTAATTAATTAGTAAATTAATACATATTTGGAGGTTACAATTTATTCTCCTTTTCTTGAAATAGAGAGGTTTTTGCATAAAGCCAAATTTTTCCTTAATGAATATAAGTGGGTGTGGGAGGGGAGTAGAGGCAGAGAAAGGGACAGTTGCTATAGAAACCCAAATTAATTGCAGTAGTAGTTTCAATTTACCACACCAACCATATCTCAGGTTACAAACTTATTTCTCAAAGTACAAGTACAAAACTATGTTATAAATTAATAGGTTACCTAAAATAAGTGGATAGAAATAGGTGAAAAATTGAGTAAACAGAGGAGAAGGCATGAGGGGGAAGCCTCACTTCTCTAATACCTTTTTGTACAGTCTTGACTCTTACAGCGTCTTACTGCTTCACATACCAAAAACCAAATGGGTAATGTAAATTAACCTGAATGGCAAAATTTAAAACAGACAGCAAGAAATAATTCTAACTATATTACAAATTAATAACAACCATAGTGAAGGGAGTGGGGAAGAAAAATATGAATGCAAGCAACTGTGGAAAATAGTGTTTGACTATATAAGGCTAAAGACAAAATAAATGAACACAGATATACAGTAGCTCATAAATTTTTGGACTTTGTAAAAAATTATGAAGCTAATTTACATACATAATAAAACTGAGAAAATAATTAAATATACTGTGTATAATGAGAGCCACGTTTCTCATTGTCAGAGATAGGAATTATTAATAAGGGATAAAAGAGAGCTAGTATGAGCCATTTTTATTAAATTAGAGTAGAACACAGCATGAACTTATGAATTTTAATATACATGCAAATGGGCATATATAGAAATATATATGTGTTTGTGTGTGTATGAACACCTGTATGACCTGGCTCTGTTTCCTTTAGAAAAGAGCACATCTAGCACCCAGACCTTACTTATAAATAACATTACCCAATAAAAATAACCAGGATACCAAAAGAAATTGCTAAATCCAGGGCCAAGGCAGAAAAAGTACAAGATAAGCTTGAGACATGCTGTGCCAGAAAGTGAGAAAGTTCTTAAAAACTGATGGGTCATGTTGAAAGGGCACAAGAACCAACTGAGAAGAGATCCCATTGGCCAATTCTGGGATCACAATGCACTATAAATCTTATAATAACATAAATGTACATGATTCCATACTGATATAAATGCACAACTGAATTAAATAAACAAATGTAAGAGAATGGGTAGTATGATGGAATGACAAAAAGATGGAAATACAAAATCACCATTATTGAAAAAACCTCGGTAATAATTGTTTCAGGCAAGAGTCATCAATGGGTGCTAAAACTATTGGGTTAAAGTATGATGAGAAATGATATATTTGCATAGTCTCAAGGTATCATCCATCAAGATACATGTTAATTACTAAGGGGAAAATAGTAGCTTTGTGGGGAAAAGTGGAAGATAAAGAGTGATTAAGGTTAACATCACTAGCAGTGAGATTTAAGATGTCAGGTGCCTCTTGATATGACACACAGGCTACAGCATCACTTCTGAGGTCTGATTGCTAAAATATATAACTTTAATCATAAGGAAACATTAGACAAGTCCAAATGAAAGGTGGTTTACAAAATCACTGGCTAATGCTCTTTAAAAATGTCCATATCGTGAGAAAGACAGATGAAGGAACTGTTTCAGACTGAAAAAGACTAAGGAGGCCTTACTATCAAATGTATTGTCGGAATATTGATTGATCTTACACCAGAAAAAGGACATTGATGGGACAATGGGGAAATTTTAATAAAATTTGGAGATTAGTTTTAATAGTATTATGTCAATGTTAATTTCCTGATTACATAGTTATATTATGATTTTAAAAAAACAGAACTTTATTCTTCTGTGGTTGTAAATAACAATCCACTTGAGCCTATGATCTTGTATCAATCTTCAGGAGTTATCTAGTATCTCGGTGAAAAAGAAGCACATCCAATTTAGGAAGCAATAGTTTCTTAGTTGAGATGAAGACAAAAGTGACTATGTATAAAACCAGAATATAGGTCAACTACAAATTATCATCTTTTTGTAGTCTCTTCCTGATCTTACAGAATCTCCTAATATATTTAAAATTTTTTTCCAGAACCGAACAAATATAAATTTCATCATTTATCAAACACTAAATTACAGATGCTAAGATCGGATTTTGGGCTTTGTATTTTTATGGATATGTGTGACCATTCTTGTACTAGTGACGAAAAAAAAATTGTTTTGAGAATCTTTTTTGGTAATTCTTCCCTGAATTTGGTAATTTTCTTCCAGATAGTAATTATAGCCTCATGTTTTTCAAGATGGACTTGTCCACTGATGGATTAGAGTAACCGAGCTTCGGAATAGACACAGGGCTTATGTTTATCAAATGATTACTGGGTCCCAGAAACCATGATAAGTACTGCATCTGTGTTGGCTTATTTCATCTTCAAAACATCATGATGGTTTAGATACTATTATCTCCCCCCTTTTAAAACATAAGGAAACCAATTCACAGCAAAATTAAAAATCCTAATGTCCAAAGCCATGCAGCCAGCTAGCGATGATGCTGTGCTTGGAACCTAGGCCACTTAACTCCCCAATCTGCTCCTTTTACTCTTATTGAAATGGCTGAGAGCAGGGATTGACTGCATAATTCCTGCTGGTCCATCATAGATCTGAGGTTCTCCAGGAGTTCATAGATAGGGCCAATTGTTTCTCTTTCTTTGTCTTTTTTGTAACAATACTCTATGGCCAACATAATCTCCTCTCTCTGAGGATGTCTTTTGCTTCCACACAAAGTGCCAGGAGACTTCTGGTTCCTGAGGCATTGCAACATACACCCACACCAGGGCTCACATGTTTTGTAAAAAAATGAAGCTGCACTAGATTTAATCAGGGGATCTCAGGTTTCTTTATGTGAGCAACTGTTAGAGTGAAAAGAAACTTGAAATATTTTACTCATTTGATTTCCTCATTTTTATTTAAAGAAATCAAATCCTAGAGAGGAGAAAATATTTGTCCAAGACGTAGCAGCTAGCAAATGACCAAGATAGATCTAAAACTTAGGTCTCTTTCTAGTACATTGTAGAGAATTTAGCCTTTCTTTTGCATGCTTTAGGAGGATTTTTATTTTTCTTTCTCTCAATAAGCTTGATTGTACTCCTCTGTTACTTTAGTACAAAATTTGCTGTGCTCCTAGGAATATTGTTCCAGACCAGTAGAATACAATTTAATAATTCTAACCTTCACATTCACAAAAGTATCAGTTTAGGAAATGATAATAGAGTGACCTAAAAGTATGCTACAGTTTCACTAAATACATAACCTCCCTCTAATGCACTGAGGGAATTTTTTTTAAAAAATGGCTAATTTAGTCTTCATCACTCCTAACATCTCAAATAAATGCAAAGTCCTGAGCCTAAATTTGTGTTATTTACCTCTATGTTGGCCCATCCAATCAGATGGCAATACTTGCATATGTAAATATAACCAATTTGGTTATATATACAATTTGGTCTTGTATATAAAATCTTAAAAGAATTTCTATATGATGAAGTATTTAATCTGAAATACGTCTGTCCCTAGATTTACTAGTTTCTGGAAGACAAATTGGAGTATAGCATATTTTGTAAAGAAGGCACATCTCACAAACTCTTCTTGCAACATGATGTTAGCTTTCCTTCATCAAGAGTTGAGATGTGGGGCCGGCCCGGTGGCGCGCTGGATGGTGCGCCGCTTGGGAAGCGCGGCGGTGCTCCCGCCCGAGGGTTCGGATCCCACATACAGACCGGTTCCCACTCACTGGCTGAGCGAGGCGCGGGAGCGGCGCCGAGGGCTGCGATCCCGTTGCCGGTCCCCGGTCCGGTACGGGGGCAACACTGAGGGTTGCGATCCGTTGCCGGACACGGAAAAAGACAAAAAAAAAAAAAAAGAGTTGAGATGTGTGTTCCCCCTCTTTGAATCTCAGCGAGGCTGTGACTAATTTGGAAGGGACATTATGTGATCTCTAAGGCAAAGGGCTTCTGTCTGGTTCTCTTCAGACATTTGCACTATGAACATAGCTAAGACACTGTGAGGAAGCCAAGCTGCCACACTGACAGGTCACATGCAGGTGCTGAGGCCACAGCTCCAGCCAAGGTCCCACCTGACAATCAGTATCAGCTGTCAGACACAAGAGCTTCATGCCGCCCCAGGTGAGGTGAGTGCACCAGTCTCTCACCGAACCCTGAGCAAATTGCAAAATACATGTTGTCATTGTTTTGAGCACTAAGGTTTAGGGTGGCTTGCTAAGCAGAAAGAGATCACAGGAACAGAAATCAATAAAGCATTTCTGGAATCTGTGCATGGGTGGGTAAAATGAGAACAGAAAAACTGTCAGGTAAACACTTTGATGCACAGAACTATGTTGTCATCTGGGCAGTCTGAATCCCCAATCCTTCTCTGTACAGGAAGAAAGGAATTTCATTCAGATACTCTTGTCCTGTGGAGGTGACTTCAGGCCTGAGTTCATTCTGTCATTCATCCTTTACCCCCTGCAACCCATCTTGTCAAGTGGCCTTATTTCCTCACCTTAGTGTACCTGCATTCTGGCCCTAGTCCCTTGTGGAAATCTCTGCAGGTGATCACTTCCCCTTTGATAACTTGTGTCTCTTCTCTGGACTTCTTTGATTTAAAAAAAAAATGTGGAGTTCATTGAACACAATGCTTCTTTGTCTCTTTCAAGACATTCGGGGGTGCTGTTAAAAAGAAGTTGTGGGAGAAAAACTGGAAATAATAAGCCAGTTGCCTTATAGAATCCATCAGAAAGGTCAAAGCCACACAATATGCTTTATAAGCTATCACTTAGATAAGTATTGAGCTCTTCTGCCTTAATTTTTTTAAAATGTGAAGTTTAATGAGAATAGAAAGGGCAGGACAAGAATCATTTTTCCTAACAAAGATTTGAGGAAGGGAGAAAGATTAGGAGATGTGTCCCATTCTGACGAATATTTAGCCCGTGCTCTTGAGATCCTTTGGAGCCCCAGGCCTCCAGTATGCTTCCTCTCTCCTCTCAAAGACTGTGAAAAGCTGGAGTCATATAATTTAATGAATAGAAGCTATAGAATTATAGCAAAGCACAACATGAGTCCTAGTGTCCAATGTGAAAGAAAAGAAAGGTGAGTATCTGAATATTAATGTTTTCCTGAAAAATGACAAGATTCTTATTTTCTTGCTAATAATGTGCTAAATCCAGATTTCATTTTTTCTCCTTCTATACTCAGAAGACTTGCTGAAAGCAGAAAGCCAATATTAAAAATCTTTTGTTGTTATTTCTTTTCTTTTTCTTCTTGTTTTCTTCTCCGTGTACTGGAAAAGTTTGCATTGATTCTTACGCACAAAGGGCTTAAGAGGTCCCTGTTATGTTAAAGTGGGTGACTTCACGGGCTGTGGAGACAGTGCCTGGGTAAAACTGGAAGAAACAAATTGAAACAGAGCTTTCGGCCACACAGATTTAGTCTTTGACTCGAGTTGGTAGGAAGAAAGCAACGTTGCTCATAGATCAGTGCCCACTCCCAGAGTGGGCTGCACCCCGCTGTTTGGAAAATAAAAAACATTGTAGCAATAGAGAAATTTAAATTAGGTGCCAGTTGGGAGAGACACCATTGGTGCACTGGAAAAAAGACAGTCTGAGTAACTGAAGGCATATGTTCTGTCTGGTCTTGAGAGATCAGCAAATGAAACAATGATAAAAAATACAACCTACAAAAAGTTATTACCATCTATTGGGCTTTTATTATTTGAAAGTCACAGAACTAAATATGTACATTATTACATTGAATTCTCACTCTAACCCTCTGAGAAAGATATTATAAGTGACAATCAGAAGTAGAGTGAGATTGAATAACTTTTCAAGGTCACTCACATATTATGTGGTGGACCTGGAATTTAAATTCATTCTAGGGGATTTCAAAGCTAGTTACTAAACACCATTCTAGTTTAATTAGCTGAGTGACTGGCACAAGTCCTCTCTGGACCTAAGTGTCCTTCTTCACTCATAAAATTAAGAAATTTGATATTCTGAGTCCTCCAGCTCTGTATTAGTTTTCTATTACTACTGTATTAGTGCCTTTTCTGTCACTGGAAGAGAATGCCTGAAACTGGGTAATTTATTAAATATATATGTATATATTTCTTACAATTTCAGAGTCTGGAAAATCCAGGGTCTAGGAGCCCATCTGGTGAGGGTGTTTCTCCTCGCAGGGACTCTCTGCAGTCCCAAGACAGTGCAGGGCATCAGATGGCAGGAGGGCTGAGGGTGCTAACATCGCCACTTGCTCTATAAAGCCACAAGTGTCCCTCCTGTGATAAACCACTCATCTGTTAATCCATGGATATGTCAATTCATGAATGAATTAATCCATATATGAAATCACAGCCCTCACAATCCAATCACCTCCCAAAGGCCCCCTCTCTCTACTACCATAGTTGGATTTCTCACCATCTCCACACTGTTACAACGGGGATCAAGTTTCAAGATGAGCTTTGGAAGGGGCATTCGAAACACAGCAGCTACCATAAAAATTACCAAAATTTAATGGCTTAAGCCATTTAAATTTATTCTCTTATGGTTCTGTAGTCTGGAAGTCCAACATGGGTTTCACTGAGCTTTAGTTGAGGTGAAGGCAGAGCTGGTTCCTTCTGGAGGCTGCGGGGGAGAAGCTGTTTTTTGTCCTTTTCCAGCTTCTGGAGGCCACCTCAGCTCATGACTTCTTCCTTGCATCACTCTAGCTTCTTGTTTTCATCATCACATCTCCTCCTTCCACCTCTGACTCCTCCCACCTCCCTCTTACAAGGATCCGTGTGATTATATTGAACCTACCCACATCATTCAGGACAATCTCCCTATAGCACAGTCATTAATCACATCAGCAAAGTCCTTTTTACCATATAAGGTGATATTCACAGGCTCTGGGGATTAGGACACAGACATATTTGGACCATGATTTGGCCTACCACAGCTCTGATTTTTTTTTTTTTCCTTTTTAATATGCAGTGGTGTCACAAAATCCTGCAACCAATAATTACAGGATGGAATGCAGTGCTTAGTGTCCCTTTATCCTACCTATAATGTTGGACCCCTTATTCTAGTAGGACAGCATTCAGCACAAGGTTGCAAATTCGTATACCTCTTGTAACCCAATACATTGTGTCTCTCTCTCTTGACACTTATTTTAACTCTATTCTTAGGTTGAGCAGTCCTCTGTATGGGACCATTTTCCACATCATGCCTACTTCCTCAAGCATTGCCATCTTTGTGTTTGTTTGTTTATTTGTTTGTTTTACTATTTTTAGCATATTTTGTCCTGTGTGGTTAAAATGCTGTCATAATTCTCTTTCATGTGAATGCTGCCTCCGTATCCTGTGCTGTCCCTGCCCTGTCACCCTTGACCTATGTCCACACCCAGTAACCATTTTTGTATTCTAGATAGATAAGAGCCTGTAGGCTGAACTCTTGACCACCTTATCTGCTTTCAGCCTGGTTAGCCTAAGAATGTAACCCAAGTTCTCATGCTTAGCCTTGCACTCTCTTCAAATTAACAAATCCAACCCTGTCACAGGAAACCCACCTAAGGACTGTCCTGAACCCCAGAGGCTGTGGCCCACAGGCACCTCCCTCTCTCTCTTGCTGCCCACCCACTGGTTGAGCGCTCATGTCCTGGACACTGCCCACCCAGCCATTAACCCTGTGAGGTATGCTTCTCTCTTTTCTCTGGAATCTGTGAATGTAAAACCTAAGCTTTCCACCATTCCAACCTGAGTCTTCCCCACAGTGCCCCACCTGACTCAAACACCTCACTTAACAAATCATAGCTCATGCCTCATTTTTTCTTTCACCTAGGTCTTTAAAGCAAATATTCACACTGGCCCAAACTCTGCCAAAGCTAAAGACTTTGTTAACAGATGCAGAGTTTTGCCATCATTAGTGTCTGAAGTTTACAATAAGCAGCTATCAAAAGCCCTTCATATTCACGACCTAAGACTTACCCTATGCTCCTCACCCCCCCCCACAAAATGGTAGAATGAACTTCTGTTCCCAGGGTCTGTGTTCCAGCTTGTAAATGATCTATAAGTTTCTTTGTAAATTACAAGAAATAGAACTTTGTTTTCTGCAAGGAATATTGATTCAGTATTAATCTAAAGACAAATACCAGCCACATACCATGAAACCAGTGGTTTTTTTCCTGTTTCCAAGAGATCATGAAAAAAGAAATCACTCAGTAACTGAACTTTATGTGATCCCTATGTAACTGTTGCTGAAACTAACCAAAATTTGTGTCTTAACTCCTTTGTATATGATTTTCCCGTTGTTCCATGTGGTTAATATTAAGGGTTTTTCATTCATCCAATCTTATTCACATAGTACATGTGATACACTTATATGCATACATATATACTCAGTAAATGCACTCATTTTTTAAAATTGACTTCAATATCTAATTTTGCAAAAGTAATTGGTTGCACCTTATGATGGACATTTTAAGACGGCCCAAATAGGAAGTTGAGAAAGAAACCAGTATTTAACACCTGCCAGGCACACTGCTAAGCATTTTACACTGGTTATCATAAAGTACATTAAAATAAAGTAAATTAGAAATAATCATCAAAAAATAAATAAGTAAAATCAGTAAAGTTCATACTTAAATACACGTTTTGTTTGCTTATTTGTTTTTTATTATTCTCTTTTTTAAATTAATTATACAATTATTTTTAAACTACAATTCAGTGTTAGATGAAAACTAAAATAATAATAATAATAATAATAACAACAATTATCAGTAGCAGCAGTTGCATAATGCAACTTAAGGCTGTCTTTGAAAAATAATGCATACTGCTTTTATTCCTTAGAAGGGAGAAAAGATTAGGACAAAATTTTAAGAAATGTTGAGAAATAAAGAAACTATTCAAAGGGGGAAATTATCATTCACAAGACACAGTGATGAGTTGCCTGAGAAGTTGGGGGGACCCTATGGGGATATCTCCTCCTCCCAGGTCTCCAGACTGTTGCCCATAGCACAAGACATTTTAGACTTGTTTAAATCTCAAATCTGTCTTTTTCTTGCCTTCCTCAGGTAGTGCTGGCACTCCAGTGATGTTTAACAAGAATGGGGATGCACCTGGTCGTTATGACATCTTTCAGTACCAGACGACAAACACCACCAACCCTGGCTACCGTCTGATCGGGCAGTGGACAGATGAACTTCAGCTCAATGTGAGTTCTACATGTTCTTTTCTTCCCTTGTGTGATCAATGAAAGACTTTTAATTTGCCCAGACAAACATTTGCTGTTTGTATGTTCGTGTGCATACACAAGTGAACTTGCAACTTGTGGCAGGCATCAGCGGGGACTGATACCAGTAATAATATAACAATGACTGTGACAATGATGAGAACAGAAAATGTGCATTAAGTATTGTTCACATGCAGCACCTATGAGAATTATCTCGTCTAATCTGAAGCTCAGATTGCTTTACAAACAAGTCACCAGGTAAGACTTGCACAAGATCCTTCCTTAGACTTCTCTTCCTTCTTTATTTGGTGGTGGTGTTTTAATTTTAATGCATTTCAATGAGTGGCTTTGGCTTATACAAAGATTATCTGAGTAATCCTGGTGCTAGCCATTACTGTAACTTCTTTTTCTTTCTGTGAAATGTGACCATGAGTAAGCAGCCACTTCCTCATACAAGATTATATCAGAGTCCACCAGCTGATGTCCCAGTTTGAACATAATCGGGCATAGAAAGAGTGAATTCTGTCTTACTCAGCCTTTTTGTTCTATTCAGGCCTGGAAAGAATTAGATGAGACTCACCCACATTGGAGAGGGCAATCTGCTTTACTCAGCTCAGCTATCGATTCAAATGTTAATCATATCCAGAAACATGCTCATAGACACGCCCAAAATGACCAAATATTTGGGCACCCCATGAGTAGAGCATAAATTTAATCATTATATTCCCTTCCCCCAGAAAATTCCTCCTACGTCTCTTCAAAGCTGGAAATTACAACATTATACTTTATCAAGATATACCTTAGGAGGCACTTTGGGAGTTATTGAGAGTAAGGCTTCCTGTGAGTGCTATGCAGAATTGATGTCTTGGGATGTGGGGGGTTGTGCCATGGTTTCTAGGAAGAGAGAATTGTGCATACAGGAAGGGGTGGAACCACCACAGGACAATTACCTCATTTGCACATTGCCCTGGCCTGGCTCTGCTTGCACCCATCCAGTTCTCCCTCTCCTGATTTCCACCATCCAAATGAGCTGACTCCAAGACTGGGTCCAAAGGATTGTGATCTGGCATCCGGAAACGGATGAAGTCAGACAGCAAGTGCCAGCCATAGCTGAGTTGACTACAAAGGTACAAAACCAAAGAAGAAGCCACGATTATCCTCAATCCAAGGCACAAAAAACTTGCAAATAAACAGAGAAAATAAAGCAAAACAAACAAAAAAAGTCAACAAGTGAATTCAAGGAGTAGTAATCAAAAACAGAAGCAAAGCAGGATAGCCTGATAGCCTGGCTGATATACTCAAAGTGTGTTTTCATTGAGGTGTTACCTGTGTGATACAAAGATAGTTCACCTGGGACCGAAGGTAAAGAGTCAAGGTGTGTGGTAGAAATGTGAAGTGCTCAGGGCTTTTTATAAAACCCCATGTGACTAAAAGAAATAGATGCATTAATCTCTTCTAGCATAACCCCCTGCACCAATGTTTAGTTTCTGGTATGTGTTATTCGTCCATATACACCGGAAATCCCACCTGGCATTTACCAACTTCAGATGTTACCTGTAAGTTCTTAAGTGCACTGTTTTTAAGAACCTACATCAATGCTGATTTTTTTTGGTTTGTACTTTACCCTTCATAAGAATTTTAAATCATTGGCCATTCAACAAGTTTTGTTGGTGCGGTTTGTTTTTCGTTTTGTTTTTTAAAATTTCCATCATATTTTAAGCACTGAGAGGCAGTAGGTAGTCACACAACAGACAATGAAATAAATGTGGTCCCTTTTCTCACCCAATTGGCCATCTAGAATGAAGTTAGAAGGTACATAACTATAAAGATATGTATTTGGAAATCCCACAATGTGATAAGAGAGATTATCACTTACTGGGAGGGAGGGACCTACTGGATGAGAAGCCAGTTTTGTGAAGAGTGTGAGTGACCAAGCAGGTCAGAACTGGCATGGCGATGGTGGTACCAGAAAGGGAGGGGGTGGGGGGAGGAGGAGATGTTACAGAAATGGGTAAGAGCCATATTAATGCAGTCCCTTGTAGGCTATGAGAAAAATTGTTACTTTTATTATAAGTGCATTTAAAAGCTGTTAAGAGGTATTAAGAAAGGGAGTGATTACATCAAATTTAGGAAAAGAAGTTACTTTGACTGTTGGAAAGATAATGAATTGAAGGGGGCAAGAGTGGGAATAAAAAGAGCAATTAAGAGTGAGTCTATTACATCTGTCTAGCTAAAATAGGGTGGCTTAGGGAAGTGGTTTTCAAACTTCAGTGTGCATCCGAGTCATCTGGTGGACTTGTAAAAAAAGATTGCAGGGCCCCATCAACAGAGTTTCTGATTCAGAAGGTGTAGGGATGGGGGAGGCCTGGATATTTGCCTTTCTAAGAAGTCTCTGAGTAAAGCTGGTGGCACTTAGCAAACCACTGGCTTAGAGACATAGTAATAGTGGAGATGAAGCAAATGAATGAATATACCTGTAGCTTGAGGATCTGTGTGCACGATGGTGACCCTTGAGGTGAAGAAGGCTGCTGGCGTGGGAGGGGTAAAGTAAAGAATCACAGTTCTCAACTGGGATTCTTAAACATGTGAGACTTAGATGTGCAAGAGCCACAAGGAAATGGATATGTCAGAAGCTCAGACAAGAGTTCTGAGCCATAGGTATGAAAAAAAATGCAAGTTATTCACCTATAAATGGCATTTGAAGCCATTTGGAAGAGAGAAAAGAGAACAGCAGAGAACCCAAGGCCTTGAAAACCTAATAGAAAATGATACAATTGTACTCCAAGTACTCCAAATAGAACCCACTTTAAAATATTCTCTTTAGTTTGCCTGGAGAGTTGGGCCAGCCACATACTTTGGGTTTCTGTTTGGTTGATGGAAACTAGGTCAGGGGTATATGCTCAACTTGGCATAGAGTGGGGACATTTTTTATTCTACTTGGTCATGCTGAGACAGGTGTGTTAGGAAGAGTGGACGGGACCCCTGAATCCTCGGGTGGATGCAGAAGTTTATGCTTGGTATTGCATGCAGCCCAAAGGGGTGAATGAGCAGTGAACAGGGCCATTTTTAGCAGGGTAAGAGGCTGGGTAACTCAACTAATGTGGCCACTGAGATAACTGGTCCTTATAGGAGGCCCCACTGTTGACAACTTTTATTGTTAAATTAAATTTGAATCATTGGAATTTGGGAAGAAAAAAAGAGAAGGAAAGTATGATACCCAGAGAGCACTCCCTCCCCTCTCACGAGAATCAGGGCCCACATACATCCAGTGTTTGGTGTCCTGTCCAAGATCATCTTGCCCACAATGTTCCTTTTGCTGTAATTATTCTGATTCAGTTAAAAGTTCTGTGAGAGTGGAATTTGGGCAAACATAGTTTTGTAGATTTGCTTTCTTCTAGTCAACAGAACAAAACAAAGCATTTAAGTAAGGAGTGTATTTACAAACTCAGGAGTACTCTTTTGATCCCCAGTTACATTTTCTCTAGCAAAGGAAATTTTCAGGAAAGCTTTCCCTATGGTCCGTAATTGCAAATGAGTTTCTGATCCAAGAAATTAGAGTTTTAGGTTCTCAGAATCCTCGCTCTGCAGACCAGATTTTTCTCCTGTTCTATATGTAATCTTCTGGAATTTGGGTGCCTTAGTGGTGCATGACCTGTTGTGTAGTTTCATGTATCCTTACTGCAACACAGTAGCTCTGGGCCCTGCCTCCTCTTTGGCCTAACACATGACTGCATGGCTTGCTACCAGGGTATTTCTTCATGAACAAGAGTTCTGCAGAAGGAAATCACAACTAGCAAAGCCATTTACTCTCTCAATTGCAAATCCTGCACAAGTAACTCTGATTTAATTTCTCAAGTTTCTATTCTACTATCAAGAGATTCCATAAAACACTCTTCTGGTAGAAAGCAGAAGGGACAATGTAACAAAAAGTCATTGCTCATCCGCAGTGTGGCAGGTGGAATGATAGGTATTGGAGATGGTAGGATTAATGAGGGGCAGGTCCCTGCACTCTGAGTTCACAGAGCTGAATAAGAGCTCTGTAAAAGATCTATTGCATTATAGGACTCCAGATAGGCACTAATTTAGAGAAAGCTACCAAAAAGTTACATTGAATTGGATCTTGAAGGATAAATAGTAGTTCCCTAAATGGAGAAGAGGAAAAAAATTGCTTTATAATAAATAATGCAATACTACTTAAAAACTTAAAAAAGGGAAATATGTCGGAAAAAAGGCAAGAAATGGAATGTGGATGCTTAAAAAAAATCTAAGTTTATGTTGCATATAAACTCTGTTCGTGTTATATGCAATAGAAACCAAGGTGATTTTTTGGTTAGTGATTTTACTTATCTGGAATTAGTAGGAAATTCAGATATACCCAAAACGTTAATTTTTTTAAATAACCATAATTCTCTAACATACCAAAATGTTAGTTAAAGCTAAAAAAGGAGATGTTCTTAATGGGCAGCTTCCTATGGTAAATTCCACACTCTCTTAAATAGAAGACTGAATGAATGAAGGTTACTTAACCTTTTCTGGATGACTCACATTCTTATAAACCTCAATTGTCTGCCATTCTGTAGGACAGACTGACATTGTGATCTTCTGAGATATGTGAGGCTTGTTAGATTCTTCTGTGATTTCTTCCCTGTTGATCTTAACACTTCACACACCTAGAAACGAAAAGCTCCTTGAAGGTAAAATCTACATTTGAGTCATTGTTTTGTATACTCACTAGCACTTAGCACACAGTAGGCATTTGGTTTTTTTTCAAATATATAAAAACAGGTATAATGAGTATGTTCTCTTTTTAATGATGTACATTATCTGCAGCCATCGGCCACTCTTCCTCCCTCTGGGAAGAGCACCCCAGTTTCCTTTTTTTAGACATGTAGCTTGTCCTGGACTGTTCCCAAGTCCGGGGATGGCAACTAATTCCACCTAAGTCAATCACTGTGGCCATACTAAGCCTGTCCTGTCAGGAC